ATTTGAACTTTTGTCGAATTCCTGGCGATGACTCAAAAGCAGATCAAGAAGCACGATTACAAACCAATGTGAAGGCTGTTTCCTAAACGTAAAGACTGGTCATGTAGCATGAGAAGACTGGTTACTGTGGCTGTGGTAATCATGGTTCGCATACATTTTTAACATTTCATAAATCTGTTCAGGAGAGCTACCATTTGCCTAAGCGCCAAAACTACAGCATTGTCGAACTGCCTTCCGCATTAGTCCTTGCTGGAAGCATATGAATCTTTCCGCCCTCCTAGTCTATCCGTTGCACGGAGATTGGGATGACCAGGCACTGGTTAATCTGAAAAAAATGGGATCCTGCGGAATAAATGAAATAGAGAAACGAAAAGTACATGCATGACCTGAGTCATGTGGATCGCACGTAAATCATTTAATGCAACTGGCGTGGGGGGGGGGCGTAACGAAATACGCGGGATTCAATTTTTTATTCTCCACCGCAGCAGTTATGTCCGGTCATTTGAAGAGAACACATCAGCCGAAGGAAGAGAAAAGCAATTTCACAGATATATTTTCTTTAACCGTTCTATTGTCGGCTTGATCTACGTAATCCCTCTCTCAAGGAGCTCATGGAAAAGTGGTGATCGCTCTCTGCTTCGGTGCCACGAAACCTAAATGTCTTATTTATGAAGGCCACAAATGAGCTGGACGGTCAGTACAGGGCAAATTCTACTGTCTATGCGTAGTGATTATCGTAGATATGTATTCCATTCTTCGTTTTGTGTTGTATGGGCAGAGGCGCATGTGTTAGACGAAGATGTGCTATTTTCTGAACCGTGTGATGGTCTGATGGTTGGCATCCTGAATATCCATCGGCTGTGATTTGGATATTGCGACGGTCGAATTCGAAGCCGCTGTACGGTATGACTAAGTTCCCGACGAATCAATGACCAAGAGAACTCCATAGGTCGCTTAAAAACACAGTGATAACCTTCGAATGACAGAAACGTCGTACCTTATGAGGCAATTCATGCAATAAAAACTATACGGTGCTACGAGGCAAAGCGGGAAGATTCAGGGTCGTGTCCATAATAGACCCCAAAAGCAAGTACAACCTGCGGGTCAGTATTTATGGAACGGAATTGCTTAAACCGATGTTAAAAATTAGCCTCGTGCCCCTCATCCGACACTTTCACCTACCGACGAACCATTTCAACGTTCATCGACACAAATCCACGTTTAGAAATTCCAGGAATCGTTAAATGAGAAAAACAAACAGTGAACGGCTTTGGGCTGGACTAAAATTAATGACATTCTCTGGGTACAACCGCAAACACCGGAGACGAATCGGTGACCGTCGAAAGGCTCGGCGACGAAGAACAAGTGAACAGCGAGAAACCTGCTGGAATCGCACCTGGATGACAATTCGCCATCTCGAACGTTTTAATAACTCAACATAACGGTACTCTGCGGCGAGCATTCTGATGGGCATCCGAAAATGTTAATGCACTTGCAACTATAGTGTAATTTTCGGCAATGGATTCGAACATTGCTGATGCTAATTAGCCAAACAATAATATTGACGTATGGCGAGGCTCATACGACGGGCGGCATTAACGAAGAAACGATTTTAATGTTGATAAATAAATTAAACAACGGATACGATGGAAATGCAACATTCTATGATACAAGAGGCAATCAGTTGATCATTGCGACTTCCTGCTGACATCGGTATGTACCGTACCTCGGCTTTTCACACATAACGCAATTATAACAACCAAATTCACATACTGTGGTAAAGCTGTATACTCGACGAAGCTTCTCGGAGATGCAGAAAAAGGACAGATCACGATCTGTGGCTTTCTGACTGGAAAGTGAAGTAAAACTCCGGTCCTTCGGTCAGTACTTCCCAGATCCAGTTGACGTACTCGATGGGAATGATCAATGGCCGGTCGTTGTAAAAGTCAAAGTTGTAGAAGAGACATTTTTCGGCCAGCTCTTTGGCGAACCACTTTTCCAGATCTCCTAGGTTTAGGAGTGGCCTGGAAAGTCCGTCGTCAAGGGTCGAACGCTGACCGACGCCGACGTTTGACGCTCTGTCAGGTGCCGCACTATCGTCGAATCTCAGAGATCGACAGCACGAGGGACGAGGGCTATTTTTGTTACTCATTTCTCTTGGACGGCACCTTCCGATCCGAGACTTCAAACTGGTATTGACGAAATGCGGCGGCGCAGCGAGGAGAGGAAATATCGATTGATGACCGCCGACGAGGAGTGAGTTGGTGGCGGCGAGTAACGACCGCAGAGGCAGCGGCAGCGGCGGCAGCAGCAGCAGCAGCAGCAGCGGCAGCAGCGATGGTGGTGGTGGAACAAGGACGACGGAGAGCCGTAGCTATGGCATGGCAATAGCTGAAGCAGCAGCAGCGAGGTTGAGTTGCTCAGTTGTTCTGTGCTGCATCGATCGCTGTACGGCAACGACTAAAAGTGCTCCAGTTTACAACTGGATTTTCACTAGCACCAGAAACAATGGCAAAAACCACATCAACGTATTTCTAGAAATACACGCAAAATATGCACTAGAAAACCAGATTGGCTCTACTGAACGCGACGCGTAGCGCGACTCGTGCCGAGTGGCCTCATCGAGCGGCAATTGGACGAACTGTTGAAAATTTTTGCCAAAAGCGGTGACGGTGCGAAACTTGATCCCCCCAAGCACTCGACACCATACTTCGCTACAGCATCCACAACGACCGATTGTAAGAAGCACGAGGTGACAGAGGTCCACAGGTAACTATGTTCCGCGAAGGTCCTTTGACCTTGTTTATTTAACACAGAATCGAAATCACTTGAAGGACATGAGGAAGTATTGGCTGAACAGGAACAAGTCTGATTTTCTGTACCTCAAAAAATCAGTACTGCGCTCATATTGGTGAATAACAGCTGTCTTCCTACTCTAGTTCTGGATTGCTTCACATCCTTGATACCCTTGGTAGCAACGCAACGTTTATAACTCAACTTCAGTTAGCGATTAGGAGAGAAGCACCGGCACCGCGGGGTAATACTTTGCCTCGCAATGTGAAGATAAAGGAGTCAAATCCCAGTGCGCGAAGAATCTCCTACTACTGAGTACTAATTCTCTTGAGAATGGACTTCACTTACTGTGCTTCAGTACAACCGGCAGAGGAATGGACAGCATGTCGCTGAACCACACACTTACGAACCGCAATGTTTTTATGCGTCCATGCCAGTGCCAGCCAGTTTTATGACCATGCTGCGTGATACAGATGTGAGAGCCTGACTAAACGTCAGCGCGACGTGTAAACCGTTGTAAAATATAATAAATAACCGTTGTAAAATTCATATCCTCATGTAGTTGCCATATTTTGTTTATCGGGCCAGTTTTTAAGACATTTTTCTCAACCGACGACGACTGTTCGCTTCACTCAAAATTGACACACTCATGGCGTATGGGAAGCCAAGCACTTTGTGCATCTTTTTGCTAGAAAAGCGGTAATTATTACTCTTCCGTACAAACCACGTTTCGGAGTGAATTATTTTTCGACTCTTAACTTGAAAAGCCCTTGGAGGGCGCTTTCCGATGCCTAATTTATGAAAATGGGAAACTTTGAGATGAGCGTACCTCACGACGAAAAATAGAGCAGAAACGAACAAGTTTGCAGAGCGGCTATTCAACGGAAAAATGGTCGATGATATGGTTCTGCTGTGAAGACTCGCCTCCAAGGCCATACTCGGAATTTTCATAGGTGCATATCGTATGCATCTCTGCTGTGTCCTGCTCCTACGCAGTCACAATTAACGACTGGAAACTTTTCCGGCAGATCGAAACAAACTTTGCCGTAGATGGGGTCCATATTTATTTGTACATTAGATAGTTCTAGTATTTCGTAATATTCAGCAGTTATCTAGGAGGTCGATGTTTCCCCGGTCAGTAAACCTCTAAAATTTCGCTTTTTTGAAAGCAGCCTCAAAAGATTAAGCATGCCTCTGAGATAGGTACATCATGATTCTACGGAGGGGAAGCGAGTTGGATTAACCTATAATTTCAATAATTAATTCGGTTCACGTGTTCTTATAAAATGTGCCAAATATGCGGATGGATGGACGTGTGGGCTTTTGATGAGGCACGAGTCGTTCCTTATCAATAGCTAATTCCTCATCAGCGCTACCACCAATATCTTTCAAATTCGACTTGATATTCTCCACAAAAAGTATTCCCTAGAAACGTAACATGAGTCCGGTTCGTCGACAGACGAAAAACCTGCAAGGAAGCAACTCGTATTGTAAGATGACATATGAGTAAGTGAATTATTATTTCAAACAGATATGGTCGCCTTCAAGCCTCTCTTGTACAGCAAAGTAATTGGTTGACGCGCGAAGGAACCAATGGAAGTTCAAGGGCTCATGCAAGTTTCTCCACCAATCCAAGGAATTGAAGCTCAACGCTACCTCAGGATATCAAAATGTCATTTGTAATCCACGGTAGGCAACGGTTGCAGAATAAATCTCTTGTTTTTTGACTGCCATGAAGCAGAAATAGCAGTCTTCTTTCCCCAGTAGGCAACGGCACGCTGATTTCCACGCTGTGCAGCACAGGAACGACCGAATTCAAGGCTGCAAGTTTCCAATCAGCCCTGTTAACCTGAACTTGGTAATTCTGAGCTCTCTTCAATCTTTTGCAGCGTCTCTTACGGTTCGATGAAACGAATCATAAGGCAAGACAAGAGAGAAAATTTGCCCTCTTTTCTGACCTTAGCCTGAGGCGTACAAGATCAGGAAACCTGACTGAAGACTGACAACCACTAGAAACAAGTATGCTTGCGATGAGAGCATAATCTTTGTCAAAGCAATTAATGTACAAGCGACATAATTAATTGACTAATCTTATGGCGAGCCACATAACGTTGGCGGGTACAAACAACAAAGCCACTTGGTCCAAGAAACGAATCTTCTGACTGCGAACCAATGCAAATGCTCAAGCTTGTGCGTAAGAAGGGAGGTAAAACCGTGGAACGTCTGATCGTTAAATTTTAGCTCTAATAGCGTAATGGTATTCAGAAACCGCATGATTTTGGAAACCGCGCACTCCTATATGTGTGGTCTTCAAACATGATTGCCTCAGCAAATCGCAGCCAAGTGAAGGAGAGTGGCAACAAGACTGTGTTTCGGGACATAGAACAGAAACGTGTTCTATTGCCAGCGGCTTGATTCGTATTGGTTCCAGAACAGAGACCATTGTCTTTATTTTCAAATTTCCAGCATATGTGTTTAAGTATTACCTCCTGAAATTGCAGGATTGG